CGCGAAAAGGCCAGTCTTTTCGACGTAAGCCACATGTAAGTTAACTGCCTCGGAACCAAAACAAACCGGCAATGGTTAACCAAGTTCCGCATCTATAGGGTCCAGCACCAACTCAGCGGCCCTGGAGCCATTGATCTCCTGAAGAAGGTGACACCTTCCTCAGTAGACAAACTCGCCCCCAACACCTCCACTCTCTCCTGCCTCCTTGAAGAAGGTACCGGTGGTATGGTCGACGACTGCGTTATCACCCGCCGCAGCGAAGACACCTTCTACTTCGTCACGAACGCCGGCCGCCGCACAGAGGATCTGGCCTTCCTAACTGCCGAGATCGAAGCCTATCGCTCTCAGCACGGCGCTGACAGCCTCAAGTGGGAGATCCTCGGAGACCGCGCGCTGGTCGCGCTACAAGGACCCCTCGCTGCCTCCGTCCTCCAACCCCTCATCAACACCGCAAACACCCACGCCTCCGAAACCGATCTAAGCACCCTCTACTTCGGCAATTGCCGCGAGCTGTACCTCACCCTACCCGATGGCAGCGCAACCGCCCATCCCCTCCTCATCTCCCGCACCGGCTACACCGGCGAAGACGGCTTCGAGATCTCCATCCCGACTTCCGGCGCCGAATCCCTCCCCCGACAAGTCACCGAGCTCCTCCTCGCCGACAGCAGCAAATCCCGCCTCGCTGGTCTAGCTGCCCGTGACTCCCTTCGTCTTGAGGCAGGCATGTGTCTCTACGGCCACGATATCTCCACCTCGCAGACTCCGCCCGCCGCCGCCCTTGGCTGGGTCGTTGGCCGTGATCGTCGCGATCCTGCCACTGCTACCTTCAACGGTGCTTCCGTTATCCTTTCCCAACTCGCCAACCCGAAGACTATCCCCCAGCGTCGCGTCGGACTGTCTGTTGAGAAGGGCCCCCCTGCTCGTGAGGGCGCTCTCGTCGTGGACATCTCTGACCCAGCGAACCCCGTTGAGGTCGGCGTTGTCACTTCCGGTCTCCCGAGCCCGTCGCTTGGTGGTGCTAATATTGCTATGGGTTATGTCAAGCAAGGGCTTCACAAGAAGGGTACCGAGCTGGCTGTTAAGGTCCGCAATAAGGTCCGCAAGGCTACTGTTGTTAGTATGCCTTGGATTGAGAGCAAGTTCCATCGTCCTCCTCAATAAAGGATAGATGGTCTATCCGTTTACTTTTAGGTTCTTTGTGCTGTTCGATTGTGTTCCTTTCTGAAATGGAGGGACTTGTGCGAAAGACTAGCGTTTCAACGATTTCTATAACTCGGCCTTTGTATATATTTTTTTTCCGATTTTATGACTGATATTCATCATATCAAAAGACTTTCTGATTTCAAATTTTGATTATATGCTAGCTTTGCTTGCATAATATGTATCTTGACTATCATCTTACAACCACGTGTAGAAAGATGTAGGCATAAAGGTGCCTAGGTGCCTATGTACTAGATGTACTCAAGACCTACTTGAATTCCGAGTAAGACGCAAGAATTATGTATTCAGCGCAAGCAAATGATGCTGTAAGGATAAACCACCTACCAAATGCGGAGGCTGAGGAGGCAGGTACCTCCAAGGTTACAAGCAGCACAGCCCCAAATCAATCCACCAAGCCCCCCTGTATTCACATGATTAGGAGGCAAAGCACGCTTCAATCCGAGACCACCAAAATCACCAAACTGCCCTCAACATTCTCCCACCTGGGGTCCCTCAAAGCCTAATCACCACCACGGACCCCAGCCTCGGGCCCTAAAGAAGGCGGCAAATCATCCAATTTAGTCCCCCAATCACTCTCCTCCTTTCCAAGAACAAGAACCAACTCCCGTCCCTCTGTGAAGAAATCATGTCCAATCCAATTCTTGGTGTAAGGCTTCCCATCCAGGGTAGCAGACTGAATAAACCCATTCCCACCAGCAGCACCACCAGTAGCATTAGCCATGTTATACTTAGCCCAATTAACCGTCTTCAGCGCCGCCGTTTTCCCCGTCAGCGGGGAAACAATACTAACAGACTCGAAGAACGGCACAGTGAGTAGGTACACGCTCTGCCCTGGGTTGGGAAATAATCCCATCATCGCCATCGCGACGAACGAGCCCATTGCGCCCGAGTCGTCGTTGCCCGGTAGTCCGGCTGGCGTGGGCGAGAAGTAGCCTGGGATATAGGTGCGCACGCGGGATGCGGACTTTGCCGGTCGCCCGGCATAGTGGTATTGGAAGACTGTTAGGAAGGCGGGCTCGTTGCCGATGTAGGTTATGTTTTGGTCATGGAGGTAATCGAGGCGGGCGACGAAGTTGGTGGGGCCGCCGAGGAGGGATATTAGGGTTTGCATATCGTGGGGGACGAAGCTATAGGGACGGTTAGAAGGGGGCTGGGATGCTGAGGTTGGGGTTGGGGTTGGCAAAAAAAAAGATCTTAGGGCTTACAATTGATATTCCCAGATGCTGGATTCAAAGGTTTCGCCTGCAGTGTTTTGCAGCGAGCAGGCGTGTCCACTCTGGTCGATGTTCGAGCATGCGAGGGGATCTTGGACGCCCCATGTTCCGTTTAGATTCTTTGGCTGAAAGAAACCGGTAAATCCAGTGTCCTTTCCTTGCCAGAGAGAGGCCTGGTCCTCCTTGAATAGGTTTTGCCAGTATCGCGATCTTGTCTCGTACCGCTTTGCATCGGCCGTCTTGTTCAGGCCCCGAGCCATTTGAGCGATAGCGAAGTCGTTGTACGAATACTCTAGTGTGCGTGAAATGCTGCGCGTCATTGTACCGAACCCCTCGTAGTCGAAGTCTTCCACGGGTATGTAGTGTAGATCCTTCCAGCTGCGTAGACCACCGCGGCCTTCGCTAGACCAGTCGTATGGCTCCTCTTCGGCGTCCTTTTGCACAGCTGCGTACCCGGCATCCCAATCAATACCATCCCCTAGGCCTTTCAGGTAGACATCTGCCAGGACGTTGTCGGCGTTAGAGCCTCCTTGTGTGTGTCCTTTACACAGTGACATTCGGCAGTCCGGCAGCCACCCTAGATGGCGCTGGGTATCAATGAGTGAGCGTACCATCTGCATGACCGAAGAGGGATCGAAGATAGTGAGGAATGGAATTTGAGACCTGAAGGAATCCCAAAGACAATAGAACGAATCAAAGTAGGGCTCTGTGCTCTGCCAGAGTGGGTTCTCGCCTGTGTAGTTCTGAGGGTTGATCATAGTCCTGTAAATTCCACTGTAGAAATTGGACAGAACGGATGCATCAATGTTTGTTCGTGAGACACGGATCGGACGCATCTTTTCGGTCCATTGTTCGACTGCTATCTGGCGGGTTGCATTGAAGTCAAATTGTGGAATCTCAGACTCGGCATGAGCGCAAGCTTGCTTTGTGCTTACGAAGCTAAGGCCAACTCGAGCGAGAACCGTATTGTCTGGGGCAGACTTGAAGCGGACAAATCCCCCACCCTACAGAATCACGGTCAGCCGTCTCTGTATGATGAGAAGAAAGGTCCTCGACTCACTGGAAGCGGGTACCCATTGATACTGCGCGATATTTTCAAATCATGAACACCAGCACTAGCACGAGAATTGACAAAAATACCGCTGTCTCGCTGGGCTGCAGGGCTTTTGAAGTCCGCACAGAAATGCAAGACGTATGTTCCCGATCCAAAGCTAGGAGCGAACCGCGCATCACCAGTCATACGGCCCGTTGAGTTGTCCACCGAGATGGTCGCATTGTCCTGACGGGAGTTCGACAGATCGGTGAGATCCAGCAAGATCAATGGACTGGTGCTTGTATCATCTGGGAACTGGAAGCGAAACAGGGACGTATGGTGCGCAGTCGTCATATCAACCCGGACGCCCGATGCCAGCTCTATAGCAAAGTACCCTGGGTGCGCCTGGACCGAGTCGGGCTTATACTTCGTCTTTCGTTGGTTCTTCGGATAGACACATCCATTCACATCGTCGCCGGCACATTTTGCATAGGGAAACAGAGGGAAATTTCCTAACGAAGGATTGCCCCCAGTGCCGGAGTCGTGCATGCTGGAGAATCCGGTGACATTGCCGCCCTCGTACGCGAAGCCTCCTTGGTTGGATTCTGAGTCTGTGTCGGCGACAGCTTTCGCCATGCCATATGGCAATGAAGCGCCTGGAAATACATTGCCTGGGGATAATTAGTGGTTGGCATGTAGTTGGACTTACTTGGTTCAAACTCACCTCCGTTGGCACTGCCGATCAAGGGATTGACGTATTGTAGGACATCGTAATCTTCCACTGGAGAGATATCCGCAGCACTAACTAGGACGCGACCTAAAAATAGCGACAGTAACAAATATGGCGGCATGGTCTAGGTTGAATAAAAGTGATCGAGCGCGTCGGGAAGGTCTAGTATTTAGATACCCCCCTTTATCCCGCACCTGCCTGGTATGCGTACCCCTGGCGATCCCTGTCTGTTGCATGTCTGTTGCATTCCGTTCCGCATGTTCCAGTATCGGATCCGGGGATGAGTTTGGAGTTGTCGGGGGTAGTGCAAGGGTGTACTGGAGGTTGATTGGTGAGACTCGTGTACCCGGACTGGTAGGATTGAGAAAATGTCCAAGACAACCTCGGAGGTTGGATCAATCTCAAATGCCTTGTGACAAATAGGCTTCCTGAAATTCCCAGCAAAAACCTTCTTTCTTGAGAGAATACTTGTAGCATATTTCTTAATAAGTTCTACATATCAGGTGAAGATAAGGAATTAAGAAAGGACATCGGGATCAAGAAGAACCAAATGGGTAACAAGGATGTGTCACCTCAGATTGGATATCAAAGTAACAAAAAGGTAGACAGCATCCATAGTATCATCATTCCCACGTATTTTCCTTTCTGCGAAGCTTGTGCACGATGCCTTTAAAAGGTTAAATTCTAAACATTCAATATAATAATATGTGGTCAACACTCACTGCGCCCATAATAACTACTTCTCTTCTTCCTGGTTCATAACAATTTCCAACTCGGAATTGGCGGGCTCGGCGTACTTGAGCTAGGTAGTGATCTGGATCGGGACACAGAGAGAAATAGTCGGTGTCAGGATGTTCATGCCAGGAGTATGGTAGGTCAACGAGAGGTCCAGCGAGTAGGTGCGGGATACCAGGCAGGAGTGGAAGGTTGGAACAAAGGTCTTAGAGCTAGGGATGGTGATAGGGATGATGACCGAGGTGGTATAATAGTTGTCCTTAAAGAATGATACAGCCGGGTCGTCCAAGTTTTCGGAAGTGATAAGGTGTATTGACTCGCGGCGGTCAGATTCAGATGACATCGAGTGCTTCTCCCATTGAGCTGAGGAGACACACATGGTCAACAGCGGGATAGACTCAGAGAATAGGCCCTGGCCGCCTTGCCCGGATGATATCGTACCGGACTGACAAGGGAAATCCGCCCGAGGAGTTGCACTATAGAAAGTGCTCGCCTTAAGCTTGCTGGTAATCGATCCAAGTTGAGGGGGCTGCTCGTTACCCACTGGGTCGAATCGGAGGCGTACTATCGCAACAGTGCTCACATTATGGCGGGGATAACTTGGAGGGAGTAAGCGGATTGGCTTAGGTTGCGATGAGGAAACGAGCAGCCGGCCCAGTTTGGTTCGCAGGGGTCCATACCGTCCACTCTTTCCCTTGCTCGTACAGTAGTATGGATGACCGAGAACATTGATGGGGGGTTCCTCTTCCACAGTTGGAATAATGCGGACCTTTTTGGCAATGATTGCCAAAGGGTTGAGCTGGCGGTGATCTGACGGGGACTTCATAAATACACCGACACGGATAATGTACGAAATTCGGCTCATATCGGGAGCTAGATCATCTAGGAAGGTTTTCCCATCACCGGCTAGCATAGGGTCACCCAACGTCGGCGGAAGCATAGTGTGTGCACGGTGAACGAGGGGGTTTATCCGTGCGTGCGTGCAGGCCTGTGGCAGCAAACGATCTGGCACAACGAATCCGAAAGAAAACGAGTATGAGCGACCAGGCTCTAGAACCTCTGGAATCAGATACGCAGTCTCCTCAATTGGTTGGCGGAGCTCGAGAAATATCTGCTCTGACCCTACGCGGCCACACGGAACGTGATCGATGGTCGTGTGTGACGAGCCTGTGTTATTGAGGTCAACCGAGGGTTCGCGTGGTGACACGAATAAATTCCAGAGCAAACTTACCTTGCAGCACGATTTCAACCTCGTCGAAAGGCGTTTCATGTTCAACGGTGATGATGGCGGTACCATTGATTTGGTCGCCGGTGGTATATGAGTTGACGATGCGAGGCTGCTGGCCGACCAGCTGGATCTCGATTTTGGGCTGTGAAGGTCGGGTCCAGGAAAGTGTGTCGGAGTTACGGCTGATAATTGGAGTCATTCCCATCGCATTGATGCTTGCAAGTTCCCTCGGGTGTAAGGAAAAGGGGGAATTGGAATGCGAACCATCAAGCGTTTTATATGGCAGATGGAAACAGCGCACGGGAGACAAGAAGCCCGGCAAATCCACGCGCGATTCTGAATCTGAAATATATCCAGAGGAAGGATCAGAGACCACGCGTGTAACCTGATCGCGTGTTTAAAATCAATGAGTGCAGGGGAAGTTCAATGAGACTATTTGGATGCCAGTATCTCCTCTGTGGATGTTGACTATATAGATTGAGAGCATGGACAGCACGGGGGAAATTCTGGAAAGACTTTAGCAAACCCATCCGGGGGAATTGGAGGAACGGAACGTACGTGCTAGCTGCGGCTGCATATAGAAGACCCTTTACCATTAGTATTTCGAGCATACGGGAGACCTCTGTGCATATTGGCATAAATCACGAAACACGAGAACGCGCTAGCACGTGGTCATGCAAGACACTCCCCTGCTACCCCCACTAGTCTACTAGATTAAAAGTATGTGAGGGTTGCCGGTGCACCAAGAGCTCAAACTGGGTAGGCGGAAATATTTCGATGGGCACTTGCAAGGCACTACCTTGAGAAGAGTGTCAATATACCAATAGAGACGATCTTGACCCTGGTACTTCGTACTCCGTAGATATATCCCAATGCAACTTGCAAATGTAAAAACAGGTCAAACAAAGACCCCTAACCTTAACATACTGGCTGCTTAGACGTAACCGCAGCTAAGATGATCGGTGCTTTCTTTTTCCCTTTCATGGGCCCACTCCCAGAAACTTCCCTATGGGGTAAAGGGTAAAAAGATCCTTCATTCCTAGGGCTTGACGGGAGCCACATGTTATTCGTCTTCGAGATGTAGAAAGTGATGGAACCAATGGATAAACGCGTCAGGTTGTATACCCAGCTTTGGTTACTAAACATTGTTTACAAATCACTTCACCCGGGGCCAGATTTGGACAATGCATGTCTCATGGGAGCTGCTCGCATATCTAACCTCATGACTCTTATGGCACTAATCTAGTGTCATGAATCTCCACGGAAATCCTGCCAGGACCGACATTTTGCATAGATATGTGGATCACTTGCGGCAATTTGGTCAAGTGTGCAACTTCGATGTGAATCTTGAATACTGACGGTCCTATATTCACCAACGTCCATAGACAAGTGTCCAGTGATGCCCCTCGGAGAGGAGCTGGGTTGACTAAACAGCCAATGGAGTCTGGTTATGGGTGGACAAGGACCTAATTTCTAGCCAGCTCGAAATTTTGAACGATTTAGGATAAGGTGAAATCAGTGAGTGTACGAAGACCAAGGTGTATACATGTAGTGAGGATTTGCGGTCAAGTGGGGAGACAAGGCCTGATCCTATTGGACGACCCCTTGGCTCCACACTTAATTCACAGAAAGAGACTCCGAGACTTCCATTTTTCAATGACCTCGGAAGTAAATACACTCCGTACATTGGTTCTGTTTCAGATCTGACGAGACACAGTTATGTTATTGGCAATTTGGAATTATAGAGGTAACAAATTAATTCCCATAGAGCCAAAGATGTCCATCCAACAGAGTGGACCGAGTCCATTGCGGTTGGCGTCCACCTTCTCCCAGATCTGCTGCACTATATCCAATTGCCTGGATATGTTCGTGATCCCATAATGATCTACTCGGTGCCACCACGATTTACAAGAATCCCGCTGTGGGCCTATAGCGTCACAGGAAGCAATAAACATCGGCCATGTAATCGGAGCCATTATGCGCACTCGACGGGATTCTGACCTCGACTTGACATCCTCGGCAGCATCCAGGTGCTCGATGATATTTTGAACTTCCTTTCTGACATCCATGGGCTCGTAATGTTGGATACGTCGGTAATAGTAAATCAGTGCGCCATAATGCCAAGCTTTTGCTTGATGGTTGAACAGGGTCATCATCAAGTCATCACTTGTCACGATCGACGATATTCTCTCATTTTCCAGACTCCAGGATAACAGGGTATCGCCTAAGGTTTCACAAGCCTGAAGAAGATCGTCTGGGATAGATTGCTGTTGCCTCTCGAACTGAGCCACAAATTCACCCAGTCGACACGTTTCCTGGATCATTGCGGCAATGGATGGTGTGATCCCGTACATGTATTCATAACAACTACTTGACTGAATGGTAATATCCTCTGTGTGAGGGATATCGGCCTCGATACCGAGCCAAGGCGACAGAGTAGCCTCGAAAGACATCGTTCGGGCCATGAGGGTTAGAAAGGCACTTATCTCATTGAGTTGACGAGTCGAGCCACTGATCAGTTTCCATTTTTTGCGCGAATTCCGTATTTTGGTTGCAGCATCCAAGTGTACTTTGAAGTCTCCATCCCCGGATATTACCTAAAGAACATTAGTGAGTGCACTGCGAATGTACAGATGTGTCAAGCTCATTAATGCTTACTCCGATTGTACAAAGAGATAATATTGCCAGCAACCAAAATTTGTAATCTGCCCCTGGTGTGAAGGAGTCGACAGCAGCCTGCACGGATTGAATTGCATAGTGCCTATGTTTAGCACCTATATTGTGGCATCTGGTCTGTAGTTTATCACGGTTCCACAAGTGGAATGCCGCCGATGATAAAATCGCGTGATAGATCGCCGAATGCAGTTTTCCTCTGGTCGCAATTTGATGTGACATGCTGACCTGTGCGCCTTCGATTGCAGCCGCAGCATATAAGCTACGATATGGATTTTGGGTGTGGAGGATGGGTTGGAGAAGATCTGCAAGATGATCCAAGTAGTGGTGCATTAGCTTCACAACTTCCACATCGCCAAAAGCTTTGCTTGCAATGTGCCGAATTGGAATAAGCGTTGGATTAGACAAAGTCGGACATGTGGATAGTGGTGTGGTATCGGAGTGCAATGGTGCATCATTCCAGTCGCATGTTGGGGAGTTCTCACTCAACTGGTCATGAGCCGAGGTGAGATCTACCCAGTAACCATGTTCCCCGACACTTCCTCCAGACTCTGTCCTAGATTGGCTATAAATATGAAAGTCACCAGAGACATCGGCTGCGTTTTCAGAAGAGGGGTTATAGGCAGATTCAAATTGGGGTGAGGCTTGGGCTAGCTCCAAGCCCTGCAACTCCGTGTCTTGAGCATAGTCGCGGTCAGCACTTATTGGCCCTAGCAAGTATTCAGTGGAGCTCCAGCCTACTTGCCCTTCCCCTAACCCATCAAGGGGCATGACCAAGCTCTGGGAGGGGTCAGGGTCCTCAATATGTAGTGGGAAAATTGAGAAGGGGCCCTTTTTCGACGACAAACCAGATCCTACATCATACTCGATAGAGGATAGGAAGTCATCGATCTCCTCTTCCCGGTATCGACACACGGTATCTTCAGTCACAAGCTGTCAGATGATAGGCCTTGTGGAGGGTAGTACAGATCATTCCATACCTAGCAATATTCTCCTTCGGCCTTGTTTATTGGAAGTAGGGACCATATCAGGCTCTGCGAACGGGTCTGATACCCACTGCAGTCTAATATCATAGCCGCCACAGGGAATTCCTCGCTTCTCACAGTTCTTGCATGTGACTGGCCTTTCGTCACATCTGACTTTCCTTGCTTTGCATGTCCAACAGCTGTTTTTTTGTAAGAAAATGCCTTTTCAAGTAGGTTTCTGGGGCATTTGGGCGTACATACCCCGTGAATGTCATGGGCCGGGGCTTTGCTTGTGCTTGCATGCTGAACGGAACGACAATCTCCTGGGGCTTATGTATCGCGGTGTTATGCCCACGTTGATAACTAATGCGGATGAGTCATGCTTTATAAGTGGATCAATTTGAACCTCCAGCTAACTCCATGGGTTTCACGGCGACTACCTATATCAAACGCCTTGCTATATAGTTTTATATTTAGGGAATAATCTAAGTATTCTGCTAGGCAAAAAGCCTGGTGTTTGTGATGGCTCTAAAAGAAAACACCTTACAACTACGCCAATCAAGGAGACCAAACATTTGAAGTCTACCACTTTCCTTTAGAACATGAAGAATGGCCTACTACCTCGGTTTGATTCAATATCCAGATACTTGGGACTAAATTAGCTCGCGGAATTTATGATTAGGCCGGCCTAAGGTTGGGATTGAAGCCCGAGTTAAGCACGTGTTTTGTCGCAAGGCTATCAAAGATATTAGACTAAAGACTTGATTCGCGGACTATTATAAGAACCATATCTGAAGCCTGCTCATATGAGACTAAGTACTAGGGCTCAGTTATGTGTATGTAATGATAATCTACCGAGGCAAATATTTGCCCGCACACGGATTACAGCAAGCCACAGTTTTGGAAATTTTAATCCAGTGAATGTAAGCTAAACCCAAACATTTCTAATGGTCTGACTAAGGGCTTTCATCCGACTCGAGGTATAACTCATCTGTATCTCCACAGAAAATCCCGTCAGATTCTTCCTCGATCTTGCGGACCGTCTCGGGAGACAGCCACACATATCTCTCTACTTGCCTTGATCGTGGCTGTAAGCCACCATATATACCAGCATACCCTTAGGAATCATTCATCGCGCCTGGATAGATCGCACCACGGACGTGGTCTGTTGTTGGCTCCAGATCAGCTACCAGAGTCGCTCCCGTCCCATCAATCGGCCCAAGGTATTCCCATTCCAAGCCCTGCTCTGTTGCACGTTTTTCCAAGTCCTGAAGGTAAAATGGATTCTCGATTCGCCGGGCAACTTCTATTAGACTTTTGCGCGGAGTAGGGTTGATACGTTCATAGAGCGATTGGTAGTCACATAAGACACAGGTAATAGCGATCTGCGGCAGCATGTTTGAACACTTTGAGGCCAAAGATCGTAGAGTGTTTTGGTGAGGTTTTAAGGGCCACCATATCATTCAGGGGAGGCATTTTGAGCCGTTGCTGAAGCCAGCGATGTCGTTAGTCATGACTCGGCGGGCGTTGATAGCAGTACGAATCATGTCACATTCGCGTCCGTTGTCACTAGCCAAAGGGACACCTGGCAAAATGATTCTCCCGGGGTTGGTTTCAATCTGGTCAGCCCACCACCTAGCAGACATTGTATTGTGATAAATTCCGCGAAGGATAGAATAAAGCTCGTAATCGGTTCTGAGTCTTCGAGGATGCATAAGTCGAACATACCTATCCACATTTCCATCGTACGCAGCCATTTGCGTTAGAACATCCTTTTCAAGAATCGGAAGGCCAGGTGGAAGAGGCATTCACAGTAGTTTAGCTCCTTCTGGACCAAGTTCGAAATGAGAATCATCTAGTTCCTTTTTTTCTATGCCGATAAATCCGTCCTCTTCAATATCAATATCATCTGGAGTCGTGTATGGAAGATTCTCAGGAGGCGGGACGCGTTGGTCTAACCTCCATCGAGGTTTCATATCACCACTTAGGAAGGCAGGTGTTCGTGGGGTCTCCAGATCAATAGATCGAGTGAAATCGTTCATAATAGCATATCTTTGGGGCTCTGACATAATTATCTGATATATCTCTGCCCCTTCCTTACTTTCTCGGGCTTCTTCAGCAATAGAAGTATCAGGGAGGAGATCGAGCTTCGTGTAGAGGTCTGTGTACCCCGCAGCAGCACACGCTCGGCCTACTTGATAGCGCATCGACGGATATCGGCGAGCAACTTCACGATAAGTGGCTTCGTCTGCGAAGTCCGGATACCAGATACAGTATGGTTGGAACACGGGGTTGTCAAGGTCGGGTATCATATTACTCATGATCAGTCGGCCCGGGAGAACTCAGGGATGTCATCGTCAGAGCACAGCTCCATGGCTGCTGTGCTCATTGAGCCATGGAGCTGTGCTCATTGCGAATTCGAGAGAGGTACGAAGTCCGCGAATTGTCGCACGACGGTGCCAGAAAGATTCTGGATTTTCCGGGGATTTCTTTCCATCCATCGCGGCGACACATTGGTCATAATCAAATTCCGGGCTTTTCTTCGCATCGTCGCTGCGAGCAACTTGTAAATCTTCCATTAATAGGATTCCGCGAGGGAAGTGCAATTTGGATAGATAGGAGAGTAATCAAATATTTGGGGGGTCATTCACAAGCATATGACATCTAGAGTAGCAGAAAGAGAGATGGTAAGAAGTGAAGGATACGCCAGACTGGGATATGGCCCCCTTATGGCCCTCAACAGGAACCGAGGTTTTTTCTAGTTGGAAAGTGGGCTGTACTTTTCTCAGAGGCATCGAATTCGGTGGGGCAATAATAGGCAACAATCAAGTATCTTCATCGTACCGAGTGTATATGGCCAAGGATAACTTTAGATGCAATACTGACATTTGCGATAAGAAAACTAGTCTCTCAAACACAAAGAAGAGAACCACAGCGTAATGCTTTTATGAGAGATTTCCAGAAATGACCTCTCAGGTCTAGCGGTCTCAAATTAGATTCGGACATTTTGGTTGCTCGCTATGCCAAAGATACAATTCCATAAATGGTTATTGTTGAAAGTTAATTATCCAGCAACTACACACGGAGATGCGAACCTTTTATAACAGATGGCATGAAATTCCCAGTACAGAGTAAATCAGAAGGCGTGCATAGATATCATTGGCAACGGTCTCGGAGTCACCTTCCTCACTACCAGCCCCACCCACTCTCATACAGTATGGAAATATTATCTTTTTGTGACTCCCCAACAAGATAAAAACGACCAATAGCTCTTATTATTGGTTAGGCAAAAGATCATGAAAGCGACTGCGAATTTCTGGTCGTGAAATCTCGCCAAAATCCATTACCGCCGCAGATGTAGGTTAGTCTTACGGATTCTTATCACAGTTCTTAAGGCTCAATTGGTGTTTAGTATGGAGATATCAGGATTCAGATGGCACAGTGATGTGTGGTCTCCACATTACGTGTTGCTCTGGGCCCACTTCTTACCCTATGTCTGCTTCTAGTTTCTGTTTTTCTGTTTTCAACCCTTCGTTCTATATCTACTCACTTTTCCCTCGAAATACTATTCAAAATGATTACGTTTTCAAGCTCCCTGTATCTTCGTGGACTGAAATCATTACAAAATGTCATCAATTCCGAAATCGAAGACACAAGACAGGCAAGGAGATGTCTCGTTGAGGATCAATTCCACCCTGGACTCTATAAACCCCGATCACGAGAACAAAATCCAGGTTGGAGTGGAAGCTTTCTCATATGAATACCCGGAAGGTGGCCTATCAGCATGGATTGTGGTGGCTGGGGCATCCATGATGATGGCCTGCACATTCGGGATGATGAGTACGGTAGGGGTTCTACAATCTTACTGGGAGACACACCAGCTACAAATGTACTCATCCAGTGAGATTGGATGGATATCTTCCTTATTTGTATTCCTCAATTTGCTGCTGGGTGTGCAAGTTGGCCCGTTGTTCGACCGATACGGCCCGCGATGGGTCATGCTCATGGGTTCCATACCATACACCATTTCCATCTTTCTATTGGGATCTTGCCAAAAGTATTATCAGTTTCTACTCTGTTTGGGTGTACTGGGTGGAGTCAGCAGTGCACTTGTGTCAACTCCGTGTCTGGCTATTATTTCACATTGGTTTAATCGGCGCCGTGGCACTGCGACTGGCATTGCTATGGCTGGCTCAAGCCTTGGCGGCATAATTTTTCCGATTATCTTGAGACCAGCATTGGATAATCTTGGCTGGGCTTGGGCACTCAGAATCCTGGGCTTTATCTTCTTTATCTTCCTGGCTATTGGGAACATGTGCATCAAGAGCAGGTTCTCGGTAAAGACGAGTGGAGGAACCATTAACTTGAAATGCTTTGCGGATTCTCGATTTATATGGGCCACGATAGGCGCCTTCTGTATGTTTTTTTCCAATTAATATGTCATGATAACACTTTATTGACACCATCAAGTCGGCGAGATAGTCGTTTTTACATCACTGGGCCTGATACCATCATACGCCCTTTCTCAGGGATTCGGCTCCGAGACTGGGTTTTATCTATTGTCTGTGTTTAATGCGTCTGTATATCTTACTAAATTTTCCTCCTAGCCTTCAGGCTAACAATGAGCACAGTGGATCGGGTTTAGGTCGATGGCTTGCAGGATTGGCCTCTGATCACTACGGTCGATTTAACACAATATCAGTAATTATGGCCGTTACCGCACTATGTATTTTCGTCTTATGGTATCCATTTGGTCATCTGATTGGTGTGCTGTATCCTTTTGTCTGTCTACTCGGTTTTGGAACAGGGAGCATTCTCAGTCTGACGCCTGTATGCATCGGGCAATTATGCAAGACGGAAGACTTCGGGCAGTGGTTTGGAACTTGCTATTTTGTTACCAGTTTCGGGTGAGTACTGACCCTCTATATCTATATGCGTGCTTCGCCTGCTTATCCTTTTGGTTTAAGGAGTTTGGTTGGAATCCCAATTGGTGGACTGCTGCTACAAGTAGTTGGGGCCTCAAATTTGGTCGCCTTTCTTGGCGGTGTTCTTGTCATCGCTTTGATTGCTTTTGTGATGGCGCGATGGGCATGTTTAGGATATCATTGGAAATGGTTCACGATCGCATGAGATGTTATTATTCTAGCTTTTTACCGCGGAGATCTTGAAACGGCATAGTGAAGCTTTGATCTTATCTCCTGAAAGGAAAACCTTCGACTGATGTCCGACTTTGATCAGTGCTCAAGTTTGACCGGCATGCCTCGACAGGTGGTTCACCAACTCTAACCCTAGTGATGTGCAGATAGAAAGAAGCCATGACTTTCCATCAACAAGTTCCAACATCAGATTTTACAAACGTTTCAGGTCTTTCATTGCCAACCATTCTCTAGCTTCTGGCGGTAATCTGTAATCATTTCAGGAGTAACATCGTTTCCTCCACAAACAACGATTACAACTCGACTATCCGGTGTGAGGTCTGTCATGACCTCCCTTAGCCTATCCAACCCAACTTGAACACTTATTCCGCAAGCCAACTCGACCTCCAACCGCAGCTCATCGCATAAACGTACAACTCCCATCGCAGCATCGGCATCGGTACCCACAATACTAGTAACTTCGACACCGGGCGGAGGGGATTGCACGTTTTTCAGCGTCTGATGTGCCACGCAGAGCGCCCCCAAGGTAATTGCCTGGGATGTAACTGCAGGAATAGGCTGCAAAGAACCCATGCGTAGCGAATGCGCTAGCGAGTCCGCCCCAGCTGTTTCAACGGCAAGAATTCGAACTTGCTTCGCCTTTTTCGGAAGTGATGTCGGTTGATAGGCTGGTAAATGCCTCTCAAGGCCTTCAATAATTCCGTTTAAAAGCCCACCCCCACCAACGCTGCAAACGATTGCATCTGCCGGGAAGGAACGATAGGTATCGGTCTTGTCATCCACGTTGGCCCTTGGAGGCAACTGCTTGATCATTTCATCAACCAGAGTCGCCGCACCTTGCCAAATATCGTGGTGGTCGAATGGTGGGACATAAATGTTCTTAGCCAAGGGATCTGATTGGTTGTCTTGATTTTGATTATCGATGAAAGTTTCCCGCATATACGCATCAGCTTCGAACCAACTTGCGCCATGGCGGATAACATTAGAAGCCCCTGCAGCGCGTATCTTTTTGATCATCATAGGCTTCGCGCTCAGGGGAACAACAACAGTACAAGAACAACCTAGATCACGAGCGGCTATAACTGCTGCAAGCCCTGCATTGCCTGCTGAGGAGCTGAAAAAATGCAGGGGTTTCCCATTGTTTGATGGGTCAGAAAGAGATGACAGAATCAAGTTTCCAATACCCCTAAACCAGTTTTAAATTCTGTATTAGACCTCGTTTGACACGCTGCAATATAGAATGTTGAACTCACCGTGATTTGAACGAGCCGGAAGGTTGAAAGGACTCCAGCTTGAGGAAAATTCTACTATATTGCTCATCAGCGCCCGGGACGTTTTAATGGTAAAAATTGAAGCCAAATCTTACCATCCCGCAGCCTTTGAGAGTGTTGCTGACTCGAGCAAAGGTGTCTCAATCCACGGTTTCTTCAATTTTTCTGAAGCGATATGGCCCATCTTTGAGCGATTTGAGGCATAAGATGCACCACTTCCCAATGATGTTTTGAGAAAATCCAGAAATATGTAAACTCAGTAGGTTAAACCAGCAATTTATATTGGGGGAACACAAGGCCCCTAGGAAAGGTGTTATCGGAGCCTGGTCTTGCCGACGCCCTTCATTTGACATTTGGAGTAATAAAGTGGGTCTAGTTTATACAAGTACAGTTTGCAGTTGGGGAGCATATCAATTGGTAATCCGGCATTTCAACCATTTTGGTCAACCTTTGGTATAATAAGTACCAGTTATCGTGTGTTGACAGCATTTCCTTTACATCTAGGAACGTTTGCTTTGTCACTTTCTCTTGGAGAATTGTGCTCGATTCTTTTCAAGGCACCTCTAAGTCAGCCTACCACGACCGAGTTGTCCTTCTCGTACCTAGTTTAACTGGGAGCTTCATGGGAGGGATATATGCAAGCTAGGCGTCGTGGCTTGTATGCTTTAGCTGGAGCACCGTTTGACTTGCTGTGATAGAGAGAGTGGGAAGCTTAGGAAGTTTCTCCAGCTCGCGGTAAGCTTTCTCAAGATTTCCAATAGTGATATTCCTTCCGAGGCAGTTGTTAATTAGCTTCAGGGTATAATCAACTTTATTGGGAGATGAACTAGTTGAGATATGGCAAATGAGGTCAAGAATCTTCGCATTTATTGTGAATAGGAACTTTCAGAGATCAAGTAAGCGGAAGGTCTGGACACAACACTGTTGAGAAAGTGAAGAGGAGAAAATATATGAAAGAAAAGAAAGTACTTGTGTCTTCCGGCATGCTATGGCCTGGAGGATAGCTAATAACGTGTCGCAGGCCACCTGGGCAGAGGTGCCTTCCCACATCATTCCCCCTCGCTTCATCTCTTCTATTTTCCGCCCTCTATCTTTTCCACATCACTGGTATCTTTATATAATCTCCTTCTGAACACCTGATGACACCTGTATGAGATGGGCGTCTGTTTCCCCTTGAGGTCAAGTTCCTTGAACTCAGATGTTGAAAGTGGCTTTGATCTCACATGCGATGATGCCAACTAGGCGCAGTGTAGGACTCGGTTTAAGGTCGCAGGTTGCTGTCGTAAGTTTATCTTTGAAGGATCCATGTCTGACAAAGCCTCTTACCTTATCTAGAGCAAATTCTGAATATGCTCGACAACCCTCGGATTCAGATACCATTTCGTCTGAGCACTTTTCTCCGTGGTGTGCATACAACAGCACCCAACCCAAATCCTCCTGGCTCACCTCCAATCCGTATCATGTGCAAAAGTCAATTCGTATTTGAGCCATTTGTGCTCGCTGGAATGAAGTGCTCTCTACATAGCTTCCCTAGCTTTTTACTGTGGTACGGCTCAAAAGCCAGAGAAGCCTTGACCGTCAATTTTAATCATTGTAGAAATACGAAGAGGCGAACCTGCTGCTGGTGTGACGCAGTGTTTTTTCTATATATGTATTGTTCATACACAACGTCGGTATGAAGAGAAGTGGAACCATCCTATTTATAGCCTCTCTGCGGATAACGACCAATTTAATTTGCTTATGATACGCAGGGGATTGTTGAGACTCTCGCATACTTCCACACATAGGCCGCTATATTATCCTACTCTTGCCACAGCGGTACCTCGGAGAATGGCTCCGAATCTCAAGTGATATTGGATAACCAGGATGCTCTGGCCGCACATGCCAATGGCATATCCTATAACCCTTTGTCAATCTTTCAAGTGAAGACCGAAATCAAAGGCACGGATAAGGAGATTGGGGAAGTTGAAGAGGACAAGGGGGATGATTACTGGGGGATTGGGCCTGTTTCTCGCTTCAGGAACAGCCATAGATTTCGATCCCCAGGCTGAGATCCTATATCTCGGTTGATCCCATGTGGTTCATGCAAGTTTGCTGTAGTTCGAGTGGCTGCATGCCTGTTTGTTATCTTAATATTCCATATTCACGGAGAAAGTCAAGCAAGAAAGAAGGTTAATAAGACATCCCTCCAGTCTGGGAGTTGTTACTCATCAGAACCGCTTATACACATCTTTAATTCAATCGCCGACAGCTATTCCGCCTCGTTGTAAGATCACCCGAACCCCCGCCGGCCCCTCCCCCACCGGAAGTTATACAACTCGGAACTTCCCCCGACGGACGGAAGCCACAACGTGCAAAGATGTCTTTAGCAGAAGAGCAAAAGGTATTTCCATTACACTTGTATCTCCAACTAAACGGAGTGAAATACTGACATATTATGGCACATAAAAGACGATCAAGGAGCTCGAGGCTAATTGGATCTGGGTTCCAAACTGGACCGACTCTTCAAACACAAACACAGCTGGCAAGATAGTTCATTTCACGCGTCATGTTAATTTGTCCTCGCGACCAACTAAATCAGTGCTGCATTTCTCAGCAGACACACGTTACAAGCTCTATGTGAATGGGAAGCATGTTGCCGTCGGACCGACTCGCAGCAGTCCTTTGATCTGGTACTATGATACGCTGGACATTGCGCCCTACCTGAAAGAGGGACAGAATGAGATTGGATTTGTGGTTGTCCGGTACTTTGCAGCTTTGAGGAGCGCAATGCCTTTTGTGCGGACGGCTCTTCCAGGCTTAACAGTCATTGGGAAGATTGAGACTGGCCAGGATGTCATTGATGTTGCTTCTTCCAACAACTGGATGGCATCGGTCGATGAAAGTATTCAGTTTCCAATGGGATTGGCCGACGATGTGTTCCTTCATGTAAGACTGGCTCTTAATCGAAGCTCTCCCCGCGAATTTCACTGACATTGGTTATATAGATCAGCGAGCGGATTACTCCTACCAACCCCGGGCCTGCTTTAAAGCCATTTCCCTACAAGATAAAGACGCTCAATGGCGATATCCCGCCCTGGCATTTACGTCCACGCTCGATCCCCATGCCCGAGTCAACACCAACGGTTGTGAAAACTATCAGAGCATGCGACAGTGCGATCAATGCCAGCAATTGGATAGCCTTCTTTGCAAATAATTACTCTCTCGCACTTCCAGCAAACTCAACTCATACACTTGAAGTGCAAGCGGATGTCCACTCGACTGCATTCCTTCGATGGGCCTTCAAGGCAGCCAAAAGCACTTCTCATATCAGACTCAAAGTGACATACTCAGAAGGCTATGAGCTCGAGCCTCGATCGTACCCTTTCTTCCGCTCGAAGGCCGACCGGCTGAACGCAAGTGTCGGCCACATTATCGGACCCTACGATGAGGTGACACTTGATCTTCCCAACACCGAAACCGTTGTCTACGAGCCATTCTGGTTCCGAACCTTCCGTATCCTGAGAATCGAAATCAACGTCGGCCCTGAACCAATTGAGATAGTATCGTTTGATGCTACTCAGGTCAACTACCCCATGGCCGTCAAAGCCAGCTGGAAGGAACCTGGCGATGCCCACAGCGAGCGAATCTGGGACGTCTCCATCCGAACAATGCGAAACTGCATGTTCGACGGCTACTCCGACTGCCCGTTCTACGAACAATT